CTTCAGTCTTTTGAGGTATTTGTCGTCGGGCATCGGGGCATCGGGGCATGTTTTATTAGTTTGTTTATTCGGGTTATACATATGGCAAATGGTTGGCGCGGTTGCCATAGACCTGGCCCAAGACAGGGCCCGTGCCCATAGATAGCTGCCTCTCGCTCGCACATCCTTATCGCCGTCCCGCTCGGATATTAGGCTTTGGCTCTATTGCTTCGTGATTTCAGCTATTAGTTTGTTTATTTAAAGCGCTTTTGGGGCGACTGACTAACAGACAGTCAGACAGTCAGTCAGACAGTCAGTCGTACAGTCAGTTCGACTCTTAGCTGACTTCTAAACATGCCAAAACATTCTTTTCAGCTGCTTGCATTTTCATTGGGCGCTACAAACTATATTGTGGAGCCTATCGGCATTATATATATTATATATGAAGGGGAAATCGGTTTCTCGTCGTTCGCAACTTAAACGATTTTTAAGGGCTTAAAATTACAAATTAAGCTAGCTAGAAACTCGTTAAAACAAGAAATAACTGTTGTCTGTCGAGTATCGAAGTCTAAATACCCTGGAAAAATACTATATTTACTATATACATTAAAAGAGCGTAGTTTAGGGATCGAATCTTGAGCAAGTTTAATTTAAGCCGAGCAGCGCCGGGTTATTTCTTGTTTATCATATTTATAAATATATTAAGTTTACATTTCTGTAAAGATAATAACAAATAAAATAATAGCCACCCGAGCAGCGCCGGGTAATTTCTTTAGTATTTTTTAAGTATTTATAAGTATATTAAGTTCAGATAATGGTAAAAATAATATACTCTCTCTTAAGAGCATTCCGATTGCGAAAGATAGATATAGATATGCTATAGAGATCCGATGCGACTAAGTTTAGGGTAAGATCTTTAAGATCTCAAGAACTTGGATCTCTAAGTCGAATAAATAAGTTGTGTATATCGACTCGACTAGGCTCTTCAAGCGTGGAATAAAATACACTTAAAACTTATATGAAAAAGTACTTAAATGTTGAACTTTAGCCAGATTTGCATTTGCCATTTCCTGTGGCCAAAATGTCAAGCGTTCTCGGCGTTCACCTTGGCCGTGCTAACTTAAACCAAAGTCGTTTGCATTAAAAACATATTTTGTGGTTTTTGCCATTGTTTTCTGTTGTTGTTATGAATGTTGCTGAAGGAAACAGTTTGAATTGCGTATGGCAACTCCTGTCGCCCGAGAGAGTGACAGAGAGAGGGGGTGAGGGAGTGGGGTGCTTTGAGTGAAAGACACGCACATAATTGGCTGCCAACATAATGGATTCACGTGCCAGTCGGCTGTCTGGCAGCTCTGGCTGCTGCTTCTTCTTCATATGCAAAAGTTAAACGACAAACGCAGCGAGTGCGAGGGAGCACGCAAGCGAGGCATGTGCATTCGTCAAGCTTAGGCACCGTTAGCACGCACGACAGCGTAGTCACATCTCAAGCTTGAGTCAGACAGAGCGAGAGAGCAAGAGAGAGAGAGAGAGTGAGCGAAGTATGGGAGGGTGGGCGGTGTAGGGGGGCTGCTGCCAAATCAAAAGACACAGACAACAATTCGAATTTAATTGTTGTCGTACAAAATTGGCATAAACCAAAAAAAATCTGCTGTAAATGTGCGTGCGTTGGCATTTGATGGCCAGAAAAATGCCAAAACAAAATGAAGAAGAAGCAAAACTAGCCAAAAGGAGCAACAGGAGCTGCCGCAATGTCTGGACTGTTAATTGCAGTTGCACAAAAGGGTTCAATAACTCGACTGTTGATTGGCAACCAAGGCAAGTCGGCAGGCAAGTCTAGGGGGGGTGGAGTGTGGGGGGGGGGGGGGGGGTTTAAGGCCGAAAGCACGCTAATTGTTGTTATTGTTGACTGCGTTCAACGAACTTCTCGACGCCTGCAACAAGTGCCACAAGGATTTGATAGCCTTTCTTTCTAAGTTGAGCAGAAGTTAATGCAAGACAAGTTCTCAATCGATTGTGAACTTAAGCTATTGTGAACTTTAAATTTTCTCACAAATTAAAATTGAATACATTTTGTTGCTAAAATCCTTGAGCACATTTGTCGACCTCAACGTCCTAAACAACTTAATCTCCGAGTATTCTGTTATAATATAATATTTAAATGTAATAGAACTCATTTCGTTGAGTTTCGTTGAGTTCAAAATTATGTGAAACGAAGGGGGAGAGAGTGAGAGAGATAGAGTGAGCGGTGGAGGGAAAGAGAAATGAAAAGTAAACATACTTGTGTTATAATATTAAGTTCACAATCAATTGAACCCACATAAAAGATTGCACAAACAGGAATTAGTTACAATAATATGGCCAGATTATTTAATATTATCTGCCGCAGAGAATTCCCCCGCCTACCAGAAACTTCCCTTCTTCAAGGAAATTCCCGCCTGCCAGAAAATGCCCACCAGTTGCGCTCTTGCTTCGACTTTACCGTTAGCTTAAGTGTTCGGCAACGAATTCAAGTTTAAAGTTGAAAAGTTGCGTAAAGTTTTCAATTGTTGTTGTCCGTTGCATTTGTCGGGTATTTAATGCCATTCCCATTGATTGGCCGCGCCTTTGGCCAATGCTGCCCGCACTCCCCTGACCTCCAACTCCGCACGCAGCCAGCAGCCTGGGCTAACCTCCCCGCGGGGTTAACCGTAGCTGTTTCGCGCTATTTGCTTCTGTTGTTGACATCCTTTTGGGCCATTAATTTTACAGACTTTTGCATGGTTAAAAGCCCAACGTTGTTGGCTTAATTGTTGTTGCTCTGCCGTGCTCTGCCGTGTTGTTGTCTGTTCTAGATAAAAAAGCCAGCAGCAGCAGCTCGGCTCAACCTTTGACCCGCTGCTCCTGCTGCTCCCTAAGACCCGCTCCCGCTCCCGCTCCCTGTGGTGCACATTTGTCAGCGTCTGTCAACCTTGGCGATATTTTCACTTTCGCTCTTGTCTTCGCGCGCTCATTATCTCAATTGTTGTTGTTTTTTTTTAATAATTATAGCGCGCTGCTACAATTGTCCCTGACCAACACACACAAACACACACCCACACATACAATTGTTGAGAAGAAACGAGTTGATAAATTGCGAACAAATGCAGCAGTAAAAGAATGCGTGCGTCTGTGTGTGTGTCTGCTTGTGCCTGCGTACGTCTGTGTATGTGTGTGTTTGTGTCTGCTTGTGCCTGCGTGCGTCTGTGTGTGTGTCTGCTTGTGCCTGCGTGCGTCTGTGTATGTGTGTCTGCTTGTGCCTGCGTGCGTGTGTATGTGTGTCTGCTTGTGCCTGCGTGCGTCTGTGTGTGTGTCTGCTTGTGCCTGCGTGTGTGTGCGTGTGGGCTGTGTGTCATCATTAGCTTTTGGCGCTCTTCATTGGCCCCAGCGCTGGACGAGCAATTTAATCAGCCTGGCAGCGCGCAGAAAAGCTGATAATACCGTTATGAATAATTTACACCAAACAAAAGCATTTACACACAGTCATACACACACACGCACACACACACGCACACACACTTACGCACCAAAACGCAGACGCGCTTTATTATTGTTTTACTTCTCTGGGTTTATTTATAATTAATAACGTGCCAGCAACAGTAGCCAGAAAAAGTAAGAGTACTCCAGTCGGGAGTAGCCGACTAGCAGATACCCTGCACCCAGCGACATCGATGCGTCCGAGTACCGAGAATGGAAATGCATACCCCTGCATGTCACAAATTATTTTCCATTCCCAATAGTTTGCGGAATACCCTCATTAACAATAAGAAGCAAAATGTAAACAATAGAAAACGTCGAAGATTAAATACCCTTGCGAGAATGAATGAGTTATTTATAAAATTGTTTTATTACGACAAATTGCGTTTGATATAGTTGAATGATATGATACAGCTTTGCAGACTTGATGGGAAAGTTGTGAAGCTCGAAATTTTAAATTTTGGAAGAAAATTCTTTTAAAAACGAATCCAAAATTCACAAGAAATACATTTTTTGAGCGATGTCCTATGCAGGAGCTAGGCATAGGTATAGCTAGGCATATTATATATTATATATATTCATAATCAATTTTGATTTTTGACCGATTATTCCTATAGAGCTATATGATATATATGATATATGATATATGATATATGATATATGATATATGATATATGATATATGATATATGATATATGATATATGATATATGATATATGATATATGATATATGATATATGATATATGATATATGATATATGATATATGATATATGATATATGATATATGATATATGATATATGATATATGATATATGATATATGATATATGATATATGATATATGATATATGATATATGATATATGATATATGATATATGATATATGATATATGATATATGATATATGATATATGATATATGATATATGATATATGATATATGATATATGATATATGATATATGATATATGATATATGATATATGATATATGATATATGATATATGATATATGATATATGATATATGATATATGATATATGATATATATATATACATATATGCTTCAACATTTGTATCAAATAAATAAAATATGCCAAATGCCAATGCGTTACATATTTCATGACCAAATCATCATACCCTCTTGCAAGGGCAGAGCAGCTGTGGTCTCTTTATATTCACTTTCGCCCTTTGCTGCTGCTGCTGTTGCGCCTCGCTCAAAGAATCTGGGCGTGAGGTCAGTTTAATTAGATGCGGTAACCTGTTGCGGCTGCCGGCTATGAGGGCGGCAGAGGAGGGGGGGGGGGGGGGGGGGAGGGGCTATGTAAATAGTCTGCGTCTCAATCTTAGCCAAAGTCGCATGTCAAAAGCAACACCGCAAAAATCTTGAAAGCGACGCCTGCGGTTGAAAGGGAGGGGGCGAGTTAAAGGGTGGGGGGGCGTGGCAAAGCTGTTGATTGACCGCAGTCAATTAAACGGCAACAGAAACCGCCAACACGCAGCACTCGACACTTATCGCCTATCAATATTTAATATAAATATATTTGGTTTTTTCTTGACATAGCATAAAATTAGAATTTCAATATCAGATACTTATACATATATTTATATAAAAAAGACACACACACACACACACACCTGTAGATCAGCTAACGCACGTTCCTTTCGTGGATCTAGTTCTGTTGAACCGCCACAGCTTTGAAGGTCTAGTCATCTCGCTCGCACTTATGCCCGACTGCAGCAGCAGCAGCTCATCCTTGGCACAGGGTGATTCCGGCACAGTTTCGCTTGTGTTGAGAATTTGTGCGACATGCGCCTCGTCGATTGTGCCCTTGAATATGAGAGGATATGGCCACTCGTGGCATATGGTGGGCCCGTTATAGTTGCGCAGCGCCTCGATCAGGCTGTCCAGGCGATGCACCTCCGCGTAGTCGTCGTTTATCGACCTCACCTCGTCCAGCAGCGCGGCCACATTCGACTCGAGCACCTGCAAAGCCCGCGAGAGGTGTGAGAATGCAAAATTAGATTAGCCTTAAATCGCTTAGTTTGCTCGATTTGCTGACAGGTGTCAAATGACCGGGGCGTTACGCTCTCTGACAGCCCCGTGGGGTCCAGTCGAGGGTGACTGCAAGGTAATCTCTCTACTTGGCACCGACTTTTCTTACACACTCGCGCATACACATGGACCTATCGATCTCGAAACATAAACTCTTCAATAACTCTTGATCCATTGGTTCGATTGCTTTGAAATTTTCAGGTCTTAAAGCTGGCATTCAAATATGTTTGCATCCCAAAGTGCAAGGCTGGACCCAATATATTTCTCGAAATATCCAGACTGGCGATTGTCTCGGCATAAGTTGAGGATGACTTCGTGATATTCTCTGGCATATAGTTGCCTTAACATTCTTACGCGTTCACGCATATACATGCAGCTATCGATCTCTGCTTTTTCTCATTTTATCCACATTTTCATATAAGGAAAAATGAACTCTTTCATAACTCTTGATCCATTGGTTCGATTGCTTTGAAATTTTCAGGTCTTAAAGCTGACGTACAAGTATATCTGTATCCCAAAGTCCAAGGCGGAACCCAATATATTTCTCGAAAAATTTCGAATTTTATTTATTTGCGATTATTGAAACTGCCATTTATATGTCGAATCACTTGATTTTTGCTTTCCCTATCACACTCAACTGTAGTATACCTCATCTATAAACAATTTCTAATGAGTGCAGGGTATAGGAAAAGGTATCTTGTCATGGGCATTCGCCGTTGACGGTTCAGATTTCAGTTGGCTAAAATGCATGCATTGTCGTCCATTTGCTTTTGTTTGTTTGCTACCAATTAGCAAATTCTGTGAACCGCGCCAACTAAGCTCATGTCAAACTATATGTCAGTATACATGAACACCCCCGCCCAGGTACCGTGGAGGTGGGAGGTGGGCTCACCTGAACTCAGGTGTGTGCAGATTACAAATTTGTAAACAAGTTTATTATTATTCCATCAGGTATGCGAATTCTCATAGCTACGGCTTAGTTACCCAACAATCAACTATAATGTCGAGATTATATAGCTGCTATATATGCATATATATAGTTCGTAACCCGAATAATGGGCCATTGTCTAGACTGGCAATCAGTGCAGCCAGCTGTTCCATTTAGTCTAAAGTCGGCCCCAATAGCCCGCTATAATTGCATTAACTTGTCCGGACTCTGTGTTGCAACAGTTAACAGCGGGGGGGGGGGGGGGGGGGGGGGTGTGTGTGTGGCAGGGGGCATGCGTTTACGACACTTACCACAGGCTGATAACAGCTATTAGCTGACAGCTGATAGCTGAAGTGAAAGCCTAAGGACTGATAACTGCGTCGAGTGTAAATAGAGCACCTGAAGGGGCTAAGCCGAAGACTGAATACTCTTATATGGCCTAGACCTATGCAACTATGTGAGCAGTCAGATAGGGTAATGTTAAGCTAAAAGACATTAGTTAGGGCAGCTGAACTTTTATACTGTTCAAGAATATATATGTATATGATTTAAAGGCTCTTTCTTGAATGCGTCACAAGCTACACAGCATATGCATAGTACCCGCTGTGAGGGTATAAAAACAAATTAACCGTTGAGTTGTCTGCCGGGTTTGTCATATCAATTGTCGAGAGCTTTCGACAACAAACGTTATGTGAAGCTGCCTCTCACTCGCACTCGCACTCACACCGTCTCGCTACCTCTCTCTCTCCCGCTCATGTGACACGAAATTACAGTTTAATGTCAAATGCGTTTTTTTTTTTTGTTTTTCAATTACCAAAAATTCAATGTGCAAATTAATAACACAATTTAAAACTTGACGAACGCGTTGCCGCAAGCTCTCAACGCTGCGCAGCAGCTGTCGACGTCGCTGCACGGCGCTGCCGTCGCTCGTGGGCGTCGGCGTCGGCGTCAGCGTCGGCGTTGTGGGCATGGCCAATGCGTTTGCCCTTTTGTTCGTTCGATTTGCAGCGGTGCAATGACAATGGACACCACTGTTGCCCGCAGTTGTCCAACTTTGTTCGCGTCTCCGTTTTACATAGCGTTAATTTTATAATATTTTTGTTTTTTTTTTGCTTTGCTTTTGTTCGCGACTTTTAGCGGTATTTCGCTGTGCGGCCGCTCGTGCTCAGCGCTCGGCGTTGACTGGCCAGCGGCTGGCGTAGCGGTACCTAACCATACGTAGCTGTAGCTGTACATATATGAGTACACAGAGAGAAAAACTCAAGAGTTTTGCCTGCAAGAATTGAGATTGTCTAGTTTTTTAATTGTGGTAATAATTGACTCTAGGGCGAAAATCTTATTTCGAGTAGGAAAACACTTAATTCAAGTTTAATTTTGGTTTGTTTTTCAGACTAATTGGGCTTGTTTTAATAATGGAATAGTTTAGTATTCACTTTGAAGACTTTTAAACAAATTAAGTTTAATTTAGGACCATCAATAGTTGACTCTAGGGCGAAAATCTTATTTCAAGTAGGCAAACACTTAATTCAAGTTTAATTTTGGTTTGTTTTTCAGACTACGTGGGCTTGTCATAATAATGGAATAGTTTAGTATTGACTTTGAAGACTTTGAAAACTTTCGAGTAGGATTTTATGATTTTATTTTGGTTTGTTTTTCATGATATCAAGATCTTTAAACAAATTAAGTTTAATTTAAGGAGGATCAATACTTAAATAATTTTCATTAAAAACCTTGTAATGAGACAAATAAAGTCTTACATGAAGTCTAATTGGTTCCAATTTGAGCTTGAACTAAGTTAAGCTTTATCTGTATTCCAATCCATATTAAAGCTTAGATGTTCGTATATCAAAAATTCCCATATTAAAAAGAATTAAAATCTTATAAATGTCTCAATGATAATTACACCTAATTCAATTATTTTATGCTTGATTTTCACAAAAAAAAAATATTTGAATTTTTTATTAAAGAGTTGCATGCGAATATCTTGTCTTGCCGCTTTTCTCTCTGTGTAGGTTCCGTGCGGGAGGCAATTCTCTGTCGCACTTTTTGTAAGCAGAGAATCGGAATGCGAAAGTAAACGTGACGGAAAGAGTGAGTGAGGGAAAGACGGAGAGGGAGAGAGAGCGAGAGAGAGGGAGAGCGTCAAATAATTAGCTAACTGAATTAATTTTATAGCTGCCGCCTCGAAGTATGCTTTAATTGCAATTTAACTTGATTATGCATAATCCAAATGGAATTAAATCTAAACTTTAATTCTATTCTCTACTATTACATTTGCCATCTCCACGCTGATTAACCTGTAATTAACTAACATTAAAAGAAATATGCCTATCGCTTACAGTGAAGGCTTGCATATGGCAACGGTTCGGAAATTACAATTACAATTTATATAGATAAATTCTAGATCAAATTTGTTTATCAAAACATCCAAAATCTGTTAATCTCAAATATATCTTTATAGGTCTTTTAGTTTCTGCATTTTGCTGCAGCCTCAAGTCATACAGCAACAGTTAAGATTCACAAATGGTGATCAGCTCTGCAGCTGTTTGCGTTCCCATTAGCGGGCGCCCACTGTACAGCTTCACATATGCCGCCCGAGAGTATGCAACACAACTTTGCGTAACCGTATTCATGTGCAGCCCGAAAGCATGCAATGATTTTTGATCAGCTCTTTGTATGCGCTGCGAGCAGGACTCATGCTTAGCCATTGTTTGGGCCAAAGCCAATGCGAAAGCCAAGCTAGCGCCAGCTGCTGGCCATTAAAATTTTAATTTTGTGCACCATTTGGCGCGCTGCCATCTTGACTCTGGCAATCCAAACCAGGCAAAGCCCTTGGCTTGAGCGATTATGTTGATGTTGATGACCGGAACGAACGCAGGTGGGCGGCAGCAGCAGCGGCAGCTTACCTGCAGGTTGCCTTCGTCGATAATACGCTCAATTCAATTTGCATATTCAGTTGTCCAATGAAGCGAAGAACAGCAGCAGCAGCAGCAGCAGCGGCAGCACACGGAGAGGATCTCCACATCGGTTTGGCCAAACAAATGCTTTTTTGCCAGCCTCTTTGGCCACTTGCAACCGGCGCCCAAATGTGCCGCTGACAGCACGGGCCACGCATGAGCTGCAACGAGCTCCGGCAAAGGGCAACAGCAAAAGCAACAGCAACTGCAACTGCTTCGTCCTCACCTGCTGCCTCGGCTCCTCACCTGCTGTTAGTCCATTACGCTAGCAATTTAACTTGCGCCACGTAAACATGATTATCATCTTGAGTGCAACGTGTGGCGTCCCCCCCACCCTCCACTTCCGACTCCAGCTCCAGACTGCGTGTGCGTGCAATTGAAGTCAACCTTGGCCAGGCGAATGTTGCCGCCAGGCAAAGGGGGTTTGGCACTGGCAACTGCTTAAGCTGAAGCTATTAGCGCGCGCTTTGTTGTTGCACTCGAAGAAAAACCTCAGCAATTAGAAGGAAAACGCAAGAAAAAACGCTGGGAAAATCTAACAGCGTTTTTCAAGGTTTTTCTTGACGGTTCAGAAGAAAGCCAGTTTGAGGTCCACTTCAATAACCTGGCTTTTCACGTCCAACAGCCCAGTTTGGGATATAAACTTTAAATCTAGAATCAAATCATTCTTTAGTTTTTCAATATTCAACTCGTCCGCTCCAAGGGTCCAAATTTCGGCAAAATCTCAATTGCTTCAAACTATTCTTTCAAGAACTTTTTTCTTTATATAATGTTTATTATATTGGATCAATATTTCCCATCAGCCACACTTTGTTTCTCAATCTGAGCTTGTTTTTACGCTTATTTAAAGACTTTTCTGGTCCATTTAGATAATTTTGCCGCTTTTCTTCAAGCATTAAAGCATCACTTAGAAATCAAGTAATTCTTAATTTAAGATTATGCAAGCACGAAATGAAGTGCAAGAATTGCATATTTTAATTGGAGTTTCGGAGTAAAAACTTTCCGCTTCAAAATCATTTTCAAGTCTTTATACAAAATTCTGAAAAAATCAGAATTTTTTAAAAATTCTTCTTCTTTCAAGAAATTTTGTTTAAGTTGCAAATTTCCAACAATTTGTTATAATACTCAATCTGAGCACTTAATTTGAAGCTTATTTCAAGTATGCAAAGTCTTAAAATAAGTATTTTATATTTCAACATTAAAGCTTCATTTTGTTAGCAAGAAATTCATAGCTGCCATTTTTCAAGCCCGAAATGTAGTTTAAATTTTCCAAATTAAATGTTTACAGTTTAGAATTTAGTTTCGTGTTTTTCGCCAAGTGTATTGTTGATGTTGCTCAGCTTCTGCCTGGCTGAGCTGTTTAACAGCTCGCAATCTGCTTAAAACTGCAATTAATTTAAAGGTTTTTGTTGTTGTTGTTGTTGTTGTTATTATTGTTGAATGCGCCAACCAGCCCCAAACCAATCTGAGCTCCAATCTGAGTGCATTTAAGCGCCCAGCTTTGACGTGCCCGCCTCTAATTGAGCTTGTCAAAATCAGCTATAGTTGGGCTAAAAGGCTTAACCGGGCGGCCAAGACACATGTTCGCCGGTTGGTAACTGTTTAAGCAGCTGCCTCTCGGTGGCGCCCTCTCTCGGTGGCGTCGTCTCCCAGTTGCCCGCGGCAATGTCACGTACAGCGCCGCCCACCAAATAATTGGCTGATGGGACTGGGAAGCATTTGCCGCTCGGCTGGCAAAAGCCAACCCAAAAAAAAAAAAAATGACAGCAACCGAATTGCAACAGAAGTTTGATTAATTTTTGGGCGTGTACTTGCTTAAATTTGTGGGCGTGGCTAAAGTGAAGCAACACCATTTTAATACTTAAGAAATGCCATAACCAAGCCGGGCAGCTCGACGGGGCGACAAGGTATGCGACTGCAACGGCAAATATGAGCTGCGCCCTCTCGAGAGCATGTCTTTTAAATATCATAGAAAATATCAGTCGAAATAAAGTTGTCAATTGAAGAGCCCCAACTAAAGTTTGCAAAAATTGGAAGCCTTCTAAAGAAACGTAGAATTGCAAGAGTCCGAATGCGAAGCAGATTGTAGAGCTCTCTCTCTCTGCCAATCTCTCAGATCGGCTTATAAAATCACCCCATTTTTGTATATTTTTACATTAGACTCAACAATATACAACCAAATTGGGGAATGGTCGAAAACAATTATTATTTATAGGGTATGAGTAGAACAAAATAGGGATCCTACACTCTACTATTCGATCTAGCTATGAGCCTCATAAAAAATACAACTTGAAGCACCAAAAATTTCAATCTGATAATAAACACAAAAGTTATTTAAAAATGTAAGAAGAAGCACAGCTTCCGCTTTGGCTATTGTGTGTATACTACTGCAAATTAAGGCTGAGTACAGGGTATCTGCTAGTCGACTAGTCGACTACTTACGCGCTCATTTGCCCTTTACTTTGTTTGGCATTGCAAAGTATATATCGAATACGAACACAGACAACATGCGGCCAGGTCGCACAGACACAACTGCAAATGCACACATACATATATTAAGATACACACATACAAGCACACACACACATACAAGCACACGTACAGATAGACAGATGAACTCGTACTCAAATAGAGGACCTCACAAAGTAGCGTTGACAAACCCATTATCAGAAAAACAAACCGGAGATTAACTTGGCAAAATGTCTGTAGATGCCATAAAAAACGCAGCAGAGGGGCGCACAGAGAGAGAGAGAGAGTGAAAGAGAGAGAGAGAGAGAGAGAGAGAGAGAGAGAGAGAGAGAGCGAGCGAGCAGGCGAGAGTGCGAGAGTGCGAGTGCGATAGCTAGAGCAGGAAGTCCACAAGAGCAGGCAAATTCTGAATAAAATATGAACAGTGCAGCAGCACACACACACACGCACACGCACACGCACACACATACAAATACATATGCACACACAAACACACACACATAGAGAGTTTCGCATATGGTCTGGCAGCACTGTAAAAGTGACACATGAGCGTAATAACAGCTAAGACCTTGCCAAGCATCAGGCAGTCAACAACCACTTGCTGGGCAGACGCAACGGTTCAGGGGCGTGGCAGGGGTACGGGGGTCTGGCACGGCCGGACAACCCCGTTTTTTGGCCGTCGCCGTCGTCACTGCACTCAACATGATTACAAATTATAACGTCTGAGCAATCGC